CTGCTACATCTTAATTATAGGCATCTCTGCCAGCCATACATGAAGTAGGTGTGCACATTTGAATGTTTAACTTTTCATTTTGCTTTCTTGGTAAAGTGAGCAATTTCTTGGTACTGTGATGCTCTTTACTTTGCAGTTCTTGAGAGTTCTTGAATATAACTTGAATTGCTTCATCTGTGTTAGTCCATCCCAGTAACAAGGATTAAAATTACAGACATCACATGACACTCCTCTGAAGTATACCGGGTTACTAGGTTTTCTCCTAAACCATGAAGCTGTTCATTATTCTCTTCTGCAATAGATTATTATTTATAATGCAGAGCAGACTCTGCAGTAAGTATTTTAGAAATAAGCTTTTAAAAATGAGCTGTTTAACTCCAGTATCCAAAGCAAATAAAATAGTTACCTTTTGAGCTAACTGTGCTTGAAACAGAAGATGGCTTTAGAAGGCAATATGGTATTTTACACTTTCAGCAAAAGCCAGGTGCTTATGAAAAACAAGTAGTTCTTTCTGAATATTTTTTTGGCATAAAAATTCATTATCACTTGTATTTCCGAGGGGGAAGAAACCATGTAATGTACACTAATTTTAGTCACATTTGTATTTTGTTTTAATAATTGTAAGATTTAATTATGAGGGACTAAACAGTAGTAAATACAGTTTCTAATTTTGAATGAGGTGGTTGATGTTTGGAATTCTGACATAATATGAGATATAAATAGCAAACATTGCATTTTAGTTTTTCTTGCATTCTTTGGTATGAAAGATTATGGTATTTATGGTTGTGATAAATGTTATGAGGTTACAGTAAAAACTATGATAAACCCCTTCTTTTGTCACGGAACTTGAAAATGTGGTGAATAGGTCTGTCTACCAAACAAATACCTTGTCTTTGTCCTGCAAGACTCAATCTGTCTCATTTCATAAAGGTAAAATACTTAAAAATTGTAGTTTTCATGTTGTCATTTTTGTTCCACCATGATCTTTTTCTAGTACAGCACATTAAAAAACAGCCTAAATATTTTAAATGCTGCATTGATACGAACAGCAAAGCAAGACCACAGTGACATAGACATTTCACACTATGCATGAGAGCCTGAGAGATGTTGAAACTGTTTTAGCAACCCCTGTATTCAGCCCACAGGAGCTCTCCAGATCCCTGACATTGTGGACTGGCCCATGCACGTACCCACTTTCAGGAGGAAATAAATGTATTACATGCCCTTCACCTTCAAAAACATTAAATGAGAGCATGAAAGAATCAATCGAGTTTCCTTTCTCTGAATCACTGCCTGGTTCCAGCTTTGGCCTTGCTAACTTTCTGTCCTCTGAGAACATGTACCAGGTTGGAAGCTCTTAACAGAAAGAAACCAACATGAAGAGAAGGCAGACTGGGCCCTTTTCAACCCTTTTCAGATCCAGACGTTTGTTGCATCAGCTTGTATGTTGTCCTTCAGCTGAAGCAGAGGCTTCTTTGGTGGCGGATGGAGTTGGTCTGTTAGCTGAAAAATGAACTGAAGACTGCAAATGTGCAGATCTTGAGCGTTTTACATCAGGGCGCTTGTGAGCCACAGCAGCTTGAGAGAGGCGGCAGCTGTCACATCTTGGTTTCTTCTGGACGTCCAAAAATGCTGGGAGCCTGTCATTACTGCCAGGGTCACAGAGGTAGCCTCTGACCTGTCTTTCTTCTGGCATGATTAATGACTAATTCAGGAAGGAAAGCTACAGTGTAGCCCACCAGGTTTCCAAAGCATAAAAGGCTAATGCCTGTGTTAAAGATGAAAGCCCTTGTGGATACTGTATGAAGGTGAAAGGCATTAGTACAGTTTATCATATCATGTATTTTAAATAGAAAATTGTTCTCTGGGTTAGTTTTGACACTGTCACTTCTCTTCTTGCATTCTTCCAGAGGTTAGTTTCTTGCTATCACATCAAATATAAGCTGCTTGCCTTCACCTGAAGGGCTTTCATGGACTATCCCCATTCTGTCATCTTTAATTTTATTTTGATAATGCGGTGATTATAGTTAGATTAGCCATTTGCTAAATTTTCAATACCTCTGTGCTGATTTTTCTGTTTGTTGGTTTTTGATTGTTTGTTTTTTTTTTTTTTCCCAGGGATTTCACTTACATCTTTTCAAAGCCACATCATTTCTCTGTTTCATAAGCCTTCTTCAAATTCTTCCTTTCCTTTGGCTGAGAATCTTTTAATTTGGAGAGTAGTCCTGTTATGTGGACAAGTATTTTAATCCTTTTCTTTCATTCACCTTTCTATGTCATGTCTGTATCATATATAACCCTTTAGTGTACACATAAGGTGTCAGCTTTTTTTATGGAAGCATATGTCACTGTTTTGTTCAGTGACTTACACAGTTCATGCTGCACGTTCCTAGAACTCCCAGATGTTATGATGATGTACAGAATAGTTGAAGCAATGTGCCTACATCTTTTATATTATTAGTTGTTGAAGACTGCGCTACCATCGAATATATCTGTGCTCCATCAAAAATAAATAAAGTTTGTTTGGTGTGCAATAGAGTTCATTAAATGTACAATTTTTGCCTTTTCTGCACTACAGTAACTTGAGCTTTTTAGTTCTGCAGAGCCACCCTACACAGAGCCTCAGTTCTCCTATGCATTTCCAGACTCTAGCCTAAATCCATTCAGATCTTCTCTTCAGCATCTCAGCAGTACCACCCTGCCCCGACTTCCCCTCAGGCTGCCTGAGGGCACCATCTTATCTCCTTATACTCTCATCCCTTTCTCGTCCCTACCCAGGTTTGTTTAATGTTCAGTTTGGAGCAAGAGGCAGCATGTTCTGCAGCTGACACAAGCTGTCCATGTGCTAATTTCCAGCAGGAAATGCATGGCAATTGGTGCTGTCACCTTGTAATTTCAAATGGTGGAAGCAGGTTTTGTGCTTTTCTCTTGTTATGGACACTAGTGGGATCTTCATTACTGATTTTCATGAAGATTCTAAGAACATGGTATCTTTCAAGCACTTGTTCTTGTATAATTTAGTTTATAATCCTGAGAACTATTTATGGCAGATAGGGATTGACAGATAATATAATATCAAATAAATGAGTTTGTTAATGTCATTAGCAAACTTTACTGAAATACCTAGCTGTTGAAGGTAATATGAACTGCTGGTTGATTGATTTTAGAGTTTTTCTTGGTTTTGTGAAGTCTTTCATTAAACCCCAAAACTATACAATGTTTAGAGTAAGCAACTGGTTTTGTCTGAAAACACATTGATCTACAGCACTTGGAGCTGTTACATGTGAACATGCAGTGACTTTCTTGAAGAATATAAGTGTTATATCTGCATATTATCTGCACATATGTTTAAATACAGAGATGACAAAGATCCACAGTGCTGCAGAATTGTTAGTGTGATTGAAGAATCTGGGCTTTGGTTTGTGTATATAACTAAGCATGTGAAGTGTGTACATTTACTTTTAGGTGAGTGCCTACTTTATTATTATTATGAGAAAATTTTGCCAGCTTAATGTGGTTGCTTGTTAGGTAACCAGGTAGGAGAACAGGGGCAACACGTTAAGCGTGTTGAGTCAACTAGTTCAGCTGTGTCAGTTACACACAGTGACATCAAAAGGTAGGGCACAACTACTCCAAAATAAGGATCGCCTCACCAAGGTTTTGTAGGATGTGCGGGTGAAAATGGGGGCCATCCTTCTCAAAAGGCCCTGATGGCACTGATGAGATAAGAATTAAAGTGGTCCTTTCACATGAGTTGCATCCACATCCTCATTCTCTTGGTTTTTCTGCAGCTCTAGACCCCTTGGATTCCTGTACTGCCTCTGTCTATAAGGCTGTTTGGGTACCAGTCACTGCTGGAAAGCCAACGTAGAAATAGGAGCTGTGAGACAGACCCAAAAAGTTGAATATAAGGTACTGGGCATGAAGCAACTCCGGCCCTGCCTGTTTATGTGTGTCCAACATAATACATCTCAGTTTCCTAATCTGCTATGACTGGCATATTCGGATCCCAGCATGTGCTTTGTGGGGTGAAAGGTCTGGCATGGAGCAGTGGATGGGCTGACTTGTGCACAAAAGAGACCTCCCAGAAGGTTCACTGTGCTACCAGCTGCAGCCTGGTGCTGAGTCCCTTGTCTGTCCCTCTGACATAAACCAACACGTGTGCCTTCTGATTGCACAGCCTGATAAGCTTCTCTTGTCCCATTTCATGAGCAGAGATATTCTGTCTGCCCTGGCTTTACACAACTCTGTCTGCTGGGCCCCTCCATCAGATAAAGGTGAGAGGCAGGGGAGCATAGCAGCTGGAAAGTACTTTGAAGGACTTATGAGGTGCAGCTGGTTTATGCCTGGCATTGTATGGACCTGTTCATTGTAGATATCTAAATGTAATTTTAAAACTGGGGTTATGTGTTTAAAAGAGTCTGCTTAGCAGAAGTGTTAAGATGGATCCATGGCAATCCCTGTATTCGTGTGCGTTCATCCTGCTGGCACAGAAAGGTGCTGTTTACACCCACCTACACAGTCACAGGTGCTTCAAGCACATTTTCACATGATCTTCTTTACATAAAAGTTAAACTTATGTCTGCCTTCTTGCATGCTTTTGAAGAATTTTACCTCCTTAAGAATTGTGCTTTGATTCTACTGTGTGTTGAAATCACTTCTGATCCCTAATTTGCTTGTTGTTTATGGAAATTCAGTGTTCATCCCTGTCTTCTAATACAGATGGGTACTGGCCTTTTTTTTTTTTTTCTTTTTTTTTTTTCCTGTATGTTCAAAATAGTAGTGAAGGTATTTGCCTACGGCACATCTTATCAGGGAAATAATCTGTGAAGAATTGGGAGGTTTTGTGTACTTGCCTAGAAGGACTTCAGCAGTTCATGAGTAGAGTTTACCGGCCGTGTGTACTTCTTCACATGGGTGATTACAGTGCTGTAACTCTGGTTGAATTCATCTGGGAAAAAGTGTTTTACAGAATAACTGAAATATTGTTTGTCTTTTTAGGCTGTGAAGCATGTTACAGAACTGTACAATAAGTGGATGAAGGGGAAAGGAGAAAGTGCCATTAATAGCTAGGAGAGCAACATGGGAAATACAACCACCAAATTCCGTAAAGCTCTTATAAATGGAGATGAAAACTTGGCCTGCCAAATCTATGAGAGCAACCCTCAACTAAAAGAAACTCTTGACCCAAATACTTCTTATGGAGAAACGTACCAGCACAATACTCCACTCCATTATGCTGCTAGGCATGGAATGAACCGTATACTGGGGTAAGCATGATTTGAAGTTTTGCTCGGGTATGAATAAATGACCTAGGAAATGCAAGAGTGTCAGGTCAGTTATAAATACCTTATATGTGTGTATATCTCATGTGTGTACAAATACCTTATATAAGTACACATATGTGTGTGTTGCAAACACATAATTTGTAATGTGTTCAAGTAGTAATAGACATGCAAATTAGTCTGTAGTCACTGGCTGGTATAACAGTTTTCAATTTTATTTTTAGTACCTTTGTTCCTTCCTTGTAATATTCATCTTGGACACTTTTAGCTTGCTTCCTGAAGACTCCTATACCACAATTCTTTGAAAGTAGTGACTGTTCCACCATTTGTGATGTGTTTTCCTCTCTCAAAATAATCTGTTTGTAAAGCTGTACCTAATGGTTACCATACTGATTGTATCTACTTCCAGATGGCACAATATGTTTATTCTGGTGTTATTCAGGCAGCTTTTATTTTTCATTTTGGATAACAACAGTGAACATCAATATATCTTGATAATGAGTGAGTTTATTATTGCTGCAGTCAACACGGATGGTAATCACTAATGTTTGCTACTTCCATTCTTCTGTATTTTTGTGAGTGCTCTAAGATCAATTAAAGATTAACATCTTATCCATGTCCAGACATCGCAGGTACAAGCTGTTCTATGTAAAACACCTGACTTGGACAAACTTTGTATAATCCAGCATGAAGACTACTGGCAGAAACTTAAGCTGACAGAACTTTCTCAATGGTTTTGAACTGCACAGTTGTTTTACAACAGGTGTCTGAGTCACCTGGCTGCTGCATCTTTCATCCAGCATTTACAGGCTAGGAATTATTTAGTATATAATCAAGCTGTAAAAAATTGAGCATTTGCCATTAATTCCATTTTTCTCTTCATAAGGTTCAGCAAGACTGTGTTAAAAATGCTGGGATTGTTCCTATGATAATTTTTTTTTCAAGCACCATAGAAAGCTTTGGTAAATTAGAAATGTTGAAATAAAAAATAGAAAATAGTTAAACACTCCATTAATGTATAACTTTTTTTTGGTCTGCAGCCTTAAATAATGTTTATCTGAAAGATCACTTTATTTTAACTGAAAGATCACTTTATTTGAACTGAGTATTTAATCTTTAGAAACCAAAAATTGCTTGTCATAGCTAGTTAGCACGAAGAAGAATTTTTGAAGCACTCCTTGAAGTTGCCAGAATTTATAACAGCACTCAGCAGTTCCCTGTAACTGACAGCTATCTCATTTCCTGTCTGGTTAGTAAGGTCATGTAGCTTATAAGAGGGAGGAGTCCCCTGCTTCAGGACTGTCACAGGAGAGCCACCCACTCCATGTTCCATCTGTGACACCCATCAGGAGGAGTCTATTGAAGGGGATTGTACAGAATATATGTGGCAAGGTTTTCATAGCAAGGGGCTGCAGGGTGGCTTCTGTGAGAAGAGATCAGGAGCTGCTCCATGCCTGACACAGCTGGCTTCAGCCAGTCCAAAACATCCCCACCACTGGCCAAAGCTGATCCCATCAGTGATGCCAGTGGCACCTCCATCATAACATATTTAAGAAAGGGTAAGGAATGCTGCACAGCAGCTGTAATAGAGGAGTGAAAATAATGTGAGAGCAGTGCAGACACCAAGGCTAGAGAAGAAGGAGGAGGAGGAAGTGCTCCAGAGCAGAGAGTCCCCTGCAGCCCCTGGTGAAGGCCATGGTGAGGCAGGATGTCCGCCGGCAGCCCCCGGAGAAACCCCTGCCGGGGCAGCTGGCGGGTTCGGCTGCAGCCCATGGAGAGCCTACACCAGAGCAGGCTTCTGGCAGGAGCTGTGGCCTGTGGAGACGAGTCCACACAGGGGCAGGATTTCTGGCAAGACCTGTGGGAGACACATGCTGAAGCAGTCCGTTCCTGAAGGACTGTACCCTCTGGAAAGGACCCATGTGGAAGCAGTTGTTGAAGAACTGCAGCCCTTGGGAAAGACCCATACGGGAGCAGTTCTGGAAGGACTGTATCCCATGGGTGGGACCCTGGAGCATGGGAACAGCAGCATGAGCAGCAGAGCTGAAGCGTTATGAAAAGACCACAGGCCCAATTCCCCATCCACCACTGCTCAGTGGGGAACAAGGTAGAAGAGTCAGGATTGCAGCCAAGTCTGGGCAGAAGGGGGAATGGCAGAAAAGTGTTTTCAGTTTTGTTTTTATTTCTCACTATCTTTTTCTGTTATTACCAGGTACTGGTGGTGTCTAAAGCCAGTGCCTACAGACTTGCAGTGTGTGTGTGTGTGTGTGGTAACGGGAAGGTCGAGGTCATCCAGTGCCAGTTGCGGGATAAACAGCGTCCAAGGCCAGTTACTGAAGGGATCAATATTGTTTATATGCATATTTTTCCCACTAGCAGACCTTCATCCTGCATGCTGAGAGAGGGGAACAGAATGAGGCCACCAGTGTTGTTTGTAGTCAGTTGAGTGCTGGGTGTTTCTGTCCATGTACATCTGTGTGGACCACCATGTGTGTATGCATTACTTAGGTATGTTTGTGTCTGTTGGGAATACAGCCCAGACTCTCTCCTGGGTGGACCTGAGGACACAGGGCTGCAACAGTCCTGCCTCCCATGGACTACCATCCTTACCAAGCCCTAACAGTCTTAAGCCTCTTACTAAATTTAGAAAGGTACAGAGAGAAATTATGTGCCTTGAAATCTCTCCATAAAACATGAGAAGGTTACTTTCCATTTTATAAGCAAAGAAATAATCATTTCCAGTTTTCTGTATTGGACCATATTGTAAATGCTGCAGGAACAATTTGAGTGTGATATACTCTGTGATGTTCTGCTGGAGTCTCTAGACATCTGCTGGTGGTGCTTAGATTCAGCAGTGATGTTCACAGAAGTTTGGCTTGGTTGTTAACAGTTCAGAAATATCACCTCCGTTACAAATCTGTATTGATGTCACTATTCGGCCTGTTTTTATTGCAAGCTAATAAATAGGTAGTCTCTAATGGGTGATAGGTAAAGCTTCTGGAAGTAAGAGGAAGAAGTTACACAGCACTCAGAAATATTAAAAAAAAATGTGGGATGCATAGCACTCACAGGTCGGGTTTGAGAGCTTTGTACAACATACACCTTGATGTTACTCCACTGTAAACATTTATCACGATTCCCTATGAATGAAGGTCTTGATAGAAAATGCCTATTCAAGAGGATTTCAGTCACTAAAGGAGTGTAAAAATATTACAGAGTAGGAGCACACAGGAAATTTTGTTTTCTGTAGAAAATGCAATCTTCAGATGATCAAGCACCCTCAGGCTTTTTTTGCCTAAGGTACTTCTGAGACCATCTTGAGTACTCACTTCAAAAGAATTGCTATCAATGTGGAGCGTCATTCACTAGGGTATGTTTGTTGGTGAATCACTCCTGAAATATGACAAGAGAACAGACTTTTCCAGAAGGTGGTTGAGATGGAGTGGCTGGAAATCACAAGGGCACCACTTGTGGTTGAAAGGAAAAAAAAATGTCTTGGATAAAGGGTCATTTCACAATATATGTTGTGGCGTGACTTTCAGTACTGTTGCTTTGCTGGGAAGCTTTTTGGATCGATGACAGATTTTCCTCATTGTGTGCTTCATACTGTTACGTTTGAGCTTGAGCACTTTGTGAGTATTCAAGCCAAAAGGGGATTGTTTGTAGCAGTTGCTGGTGATCCTGAGCTGAAGAGCAGGGAGGAGGAGTTGATAGAAACACAGGGCTGTGTGGTGAAAGGGTGGGGTTTTGAAACTGGGTTTTTATTTTCTTAGAACAGGGAAAAAAAAAAGATTTCCAGTTACAGAATATTCTGTAAATTGAGGTGAGTGCTGAAAGTGAAAAAAGCAAAACACCTCCACTTTTCTAACATTCTTGATGCCTGCCAGTAAGTAATAGTGATCAAGCAACTCTGGCATTGAAGGCGCAGCTAAGGTAGCTAGAGAGAATCATCAGTAATTGTGCTCAGGATCTGGGTATAGGAAATATTTTTTTCATTATTATGATTTGGGAAGTATTTGTCACTGCAGCAGAATGACCAAAGCTCAAAGCGGTCGTGGTTTCCTCTAGGCTGAAATATCCTGGTATGTTAAATAAATTTGCAACTCTTAGAATTTCAGACTGATAGAGGCCATAGTCTTGTCTATCGTATCCTGCTTCAGAGGTTTCAGTAAGGACTCGTTTAAGCAGTTGTAATGCAATCAAAGAAAGTATACTGAGATAGGAAGAATATGACAGAAAATTTGTTAACATGAGAGGGAATATTGCATTGGTCACAACACATTGTCTCTTCATGACCAACGCATGTCTCTTCCCATGTCAGTTTTTGTTGGTTGTTATTCCTTTTTTGGTCATGTTGAAAATTTTGGATGGTTTTGGATGTGTTGGTGGGAGATGTGTGCAGACTTTTTTCAGAACATGACTCCTCTCAAGCTGAGAAGATATTAGGGCATTTTTGTGCTGCAGAAATATATATCAAAGAGAAGTATTAGAGAAAGCCCTGTTTCTGGCTTTAGAGAGGTGCTGTAGTTTACTATTTTCTATTAAGGTTGCAGGTGCTCTGGATTTTAGATTTTTTTTTTTTTCTGGAGATGCAAATAAAGAAGAGACTACTTCAGGCTACTTCACTCTCCACTGTTTTGACTGAGACAGAAGTTCTGTCAAGTTTTAAATGCTGAGATCGAAATCAACCTAAATTATTCATGCTGAAATCTTTAGAAAGATGCTACAAAATAAATTTTTTCTTTATCAGATTTTGAAAATCTATTCAATGCTTTGCTAGTAAGACTGGTGTTCCTTTTTAAATTATACTCCTAACTGTATTTCCAATATAACTGTGAACAAAAGAAAAATAAGAATGCTAACAGCAGTTATTTGTCTAATAAGGGCAAAGGGGAAAAATGTGGAGTTACTAAAGAACACAACAGGATCCCAGTGTGAGGAAACTTGTGTTGGATGTATGGACATTTTCAATGGGTTCTTCAGAA